CTATGCAAGAACCCCGTCTTCTTGTCTTGTGAACGGTGGATGTGTGTGTATTGTTCCGATCCATCCTTTTTGTCTCTGCGCATATCTCATTTTTGCACCTTCCACAGTGAATGAATGTATGAAGATCCGCGTTTCTTTTGTGTTGATTAGACAATTGTTGATGGGATTTTGTTCGAGAATGCAAGAGTGTTTAGATCTGTAGCTGTAGATGTTTGGCGCATGCCATCTGCCGTAAGCTGCACGACAAACATCACCCGAGCCACGGATCAACGTCGCGCTGGCTCACTAAACCCGAGTCGCGGGCCGGTCCGCTAGTTACATGCATGATCAAGCTGATGAGTATTCTCTCTCTCTCTCTCTCTCTCTCGTGTAGAAAAGGATTGATTGGGGGGGGTTTGCGCGAGCGTTTTCTTTTCTTGATGACGTCTCAAGGTTTTTGCGATTGATTGATACGTGGACTGACAAGCACCCTCCGATCGGGCACCAGCCTCCCGCACCTCCCGTCTCAACACGGCCTTTTCCCTACAACGAGGAGAGGACACGTGTATGCGAGTGGGACGTACGAGAAGCCGTTGCACAAATCGGCGGACGGTACTACTTCCCTCCGGCAAATCGTTGTTCAGGGTTCGTTGAGGCTGGGTTTGTCATTATCGATACGCACTTCCCACCTTACTCGATATTGATGCCATTCAACGATTTGATTGTCATCCCGTGGACGACACTTTATGCACCGAATGTAAGCGTTTTGAGCGCTACGAATCCATGGGTTTCCACTACCGTGTGCGGAGTGAAGATGAGCATAAAGAAAGAGCCACGCGGCTGAGACCATCCACATCAGACTCATAACTGACCAGTGAACGACGACGGGACTTGATACGAAAACGGGACACGCGAAGCGTGCCCAGGCCCTTTCGCTCTAAACGACGGGCCGTAGCACGGTGGGAAGCTCGACAATACTTTTTGGATTGAATTTGGATTTTAATATTTTCTCGCCATGCCCGCGTGCGCGAAAGCAACCGACTAACTTCATCGGACCAACGCGGGGGGATTTCAGTTTCGTCTGTGTCCCAACACTCAATTTCCAAAAATCCTTAATTTCCAAAAATCCTTGGCACACCCCATCTTGCTGTTTTTCTCGGCCTCCTTCCGCACATCTAGCACTTCGAACGAAAGACAGCACAGGGCGTGAGGTTGCGCGTCACAGAATACCTTTTGGGGTAACAAAGTCTTCGAAGCCGTTTGGACTCTGGAGGAAAGTGAAATAGGTAATGGTTAGGGCAAAGAAGGATTACAAAGGAAAGCGCCTGAAGTCTATTCAATTTGGTAAATTAGATAACCAAGGAGCCTTGAGAAAACCCATGACACGCCTACGTGCTGCCGAAGCACAAGCATCCGGCAATTTAAAGTCCCGACCATTGCAACCAAATTGCAATCTTACTTTCCTTTTCTGAACCAGGTCCTGCTAAGGTGGCCAATCAGCTAAACTAAGTATCGAAGGCGTTGAACTTTCTCTCGGAATCTCCTGTTTTCAACTATTCACTTGAACTTGAAGTCCACAAGTTTGTTAGGTTAAAAAAGGGAAAGTTGCAAGACATCAGCAGATAGGAAGAAAGAAAGAGGAACTGTTACAGCGGCAAACTCACTCGAGCAGCTTACAACATTAAAGAGATGTTCACATTGGTTGTAACAATTGTTAAGAAAAGAAAAAGGATGTTTAGTAAGTTGCCCCACGACTCAGTTAAGGAAGCAATATACAAGATTTTGAATTTTTGAATATTACCTTTGAAAGGAAAGGGAGGAACTCTGTCCTGGTAAGAATGAGAGGTAAGGGAGCCTCTTTTGGAAAGAAGAAGGGCGATTAAGGATGGCTTAACGTTAGCTTTGAACCTTTGACCAGATCAAAAGGCTTAGAATGATTGTAGAATTTGACACGGATAATACTTATCTGGGTCCTGGGTCTCTCAGACTAGGTTGATTCGGCAAAAGGAGGGCATTTCCATCGGGAAATCGAGTAACCCTCCAATTGCGTGCATTCTTTGTGCCTACTACGAGTCAAAGTTTCTTTAAGGATTAGGGAGGGATATGAAATTCAATTTGGTAAAGGGAATTTAATTTATAGTAGTTGACGTCAAACTTGACGACAATGTATCATCCGCGGTCGTGACCGCGGGCCATTTGACCGCACGCGGTTGGCATCCCGACCGCAGCGGGCAGCGCCCGCGGCCAAGTGTAGTCGGAAAACCTCGACATTTTTAAATCTTGGGATACTTGCCAAAAAATAAAATAAAAACATGGGGTTGTAGGTTTTTGTGCGCTCTACAACCGTATATTTTTAGTTTTATTTTTTGACTTCTTTTCTGGAAAAAAAAAAAAAAAAAAAAAAAAAAAAAACCAGAAATCCCTCAGGCAAAAGTTCTTCACTTTATTCTTTTAGTAAGAAAAATAAAGGAGTTTGTTTGATTTTTATCTCAAATTTGGTACGAATTTTGATATGACCCCAAGACAAACGTTGTTCAGCTTATTTTTGGGCATAACAT